AATTTAAATAAGATTATAGAATTCGAGTTAAATATTTAATAACTTAGAGTCGAACGCGGGCTATATAATAATTTCGATATATTCTTTATAGAAAAAATAGAATAATATATTATTTTAGAAGTTTAATAAAAATTAATCTATAACGTCTAAGTTCGCGATATTAAATTTAATATAAAAATTAAATTTAATAAGTATAGCTCTTATCTACTTTAAACGTAATTAATAAAATAATTATAAAAAGTATAATATAATAATAAATAAGTAAATAATTATAGAGAAATATATAATAGAGTAAGTAGTATATAAGAATTTAATTAAGACTTATAGTAAGATATAAATAGATAAAAAAATAGAAGAAAGATATAATATTTAATTTAAATCTTTAATAGTACTTATAAATGAATAAGTAATTACTTTTTAAACGATATTAATTAATTATTATATACTTATTAATAATAATTAATATTAAAGCGCGATATAGATAATAATATAAGTAAATAAATATTAAATAATAAATTATAAAGAGAAAATAGTAGAATATAATATTATAAGCGCTAATAACTAACGCGATAATTAACTATTTAGCTTCGATTCGATAGTTTATTAACTATTTAAATCGTCTATTTAACTTAAATATTTAATTATCTATATTAATCTTTTATTTAATCTAATATAATAAGATAAATAGAAGAAAATAAAATATCGACGTAATAAGATTAAATTCTTTATCGATATTAGTAGTCTTTCTATTAATAATATTTATAATAATATAAATAAAATTCTTAATTAAAAAGTATTACTAATCTCTAATTACTTTAATAAAAATAAAGTAATTACTACTTCTATTATATATATTTCTCTTAAAATAATATAAAAGAATATTATCTTCGAGAAGAAACGAATTTTAAAAGCGACTTAGACTTTTAATAGATATATTAAAGAGTATTACGAAGTAGATATTACTAATAATTAAAACGCTTAAAAACTTTTTAATTTAAAATTATCGCTTCGTTAGTATTAAGTACTTAATACTATCTTTTATATCGAATATAAAACTAAGAGTAAAGAGCTATTAGATAATATATTAATAAGTTATCTTTTCTCTAACTATATTAAAGAAAATAATATTAATTTAAAAACTCTTTAGACGAATATTATAAGATTTAATAAAATAATAATAATATTAATATTAATAACGATAAATCCTCTACTTCTTAATAAGAAAAATAGAATTACTTTAATAGTATATACTTTAAAATTATTAAAATAATATAAAACTCGAATTACGAGTTTATCTTAGTTAACGTTTATTTAGTTTAAATAATTTAAAAATAAATCTTATTTCTATAGCTTAATTATAAATATCTTTAATTACTTTAATTATCTTTAAGTATAATATTAATTTAATATTATAATTTATACTATCTAGAAGCTAGATTAGAGATTATATTAATAATTAAAGATTATAATTAAAAGAATTATAGATATTTAATAGAAGTTAGATATTAAATCTATTATTACTATTAATTAACTTAAATATATCGCTTATTTAATTTAGATACTAGATATAATAATAATATCGAAATTAAATAAGCGATATCTAAGCTATTTATATATTTATATTATTTATATTCTTAATATTATTATTCTTATTTCTAATATTATTATATATTTAAGATCGAACTATCTCTCTTCGTATATTTCGATTTAATATCTTATTATTTAAGCTATTCGAGTTATTTAATATTAAGTAATAATTATAAATCTTTTTATTTTTCTATAATAGTTATATTACTCTATTATCTACTTAAATATTCTATTATTTCTTTTAATTAATATCTAGATTTATAGAGCGAAAGAATCTTATTAAGATTATATTTATATCTATAAGATATTTAATAGAAATTAAAAAGCAAGATTTATTATTATTTTTAAAAGGTTATATTATTATATTATTATAATTTTTAAAAGAAATTATTAAGAAGTATTAGAGAGTTTCGTAATTTAAATACTCTTATTTAAATTACTACGAGTTTATTAATATTATCTAAGATTAATTAGATAAAAAAGAAAAATATATTAGATTAATAATAAGACTAACGATAGAAGAATTTATAAAAATAATTAATTTTTTAATATATTTATATATATTCTTCTCGAGAGTATTAATTAATTATTTTAAGATAATAAATTTAGAAATATCTTATATTAGCTTATCTAGATAATAATTATAAATACTATATTCTAGATATTAAAGCTAGTTATCTTTCTTATTATCTAGCTTTATAAAGTTTAATTATTATTATCTTATCTTATAATAATTCTTATTATTTTAATACTTAGAATTAGTTAGCTTTAGTCGATATTATTTAAAGAAATTAAGAATATTTAAAATTATTATTACTATTTAAAGCTTATAGGCTTTATTAAAGTATAAATCGTAGATAAGATTAGAAATATTATAATTTTAAATTATAATTTTCTTATATTATATAAGATACTTCGCTTTAGTCTAATTTTAGATAATTTAATTAATATTCTATAATATCTTTCTCTAATTCTCACTTAATATATAAATAATCTTTCTTATCTTATATAATAAAAGTTTAATAAATAAAATACCGCTATTAATAATTCTTATCTTCGCTATTTATTTAATTATTAATTTATTTAAAATTATTTATATATTATCGATATTTTACTTTAGCTTCTTATTCGATAGACTACGCGAGCGAGCTATTATATTCTCTATTCGCTTCTTAATCTTACGATATACTTTTTTTATTATTATCGATATAATAAGATTTATTTTTTACTATAACTACTTTATCGAGAGAATTATCGCTATTATATTTATAAAGAATTTAATTTATAATATAGCTAAGTATCTATATACGAATAATAGATAATACTTATATTTCTTCGCTAGTCTATTATAATATATTCGTTTCTTCTTATATAGTTTTTATATACTTATAAAGTTATTAATTATAATTTTAGATTACTTTATTTTATAGACGTTAATTAATATAAAAGTTAAGATAATATTTAATTTTATATTATAAAACTTATTAACGTAGATTTAGTTAATAGCGAAGTTATATTTAAATTTTTCTTTATCTTTAATTATAACTTTTATATAATTCTTATATAATTTAAAAATTATTATAATTAAGAATCTCTCTTATTTAGATTAAGCTTAACTATTAATTATATATTTAAATAATTTAATATTTATAAAGATTAAAGGCTTAGCGCTAACTTTATAATATCGAGCTAATCTATATATATAAAATACGCGAAGTTATATAATATCGCGGTTATCGAGATCTATAAATTTAGTAATTTCTATAAATTAATTTATTAAAGTCTTTACTAGAACGATAATAAGAAAGAATTTTATTTTAAATATTATTTAAGCTATATAGTTCGCTTCGTCTTTATATAAATAAGTAATATTAAATATCTTAATCGAAGAATATTAAAACTATTAATTCTTTTAAACGAATTATAATACGAGATATTTATCCGCGAAGAAAGACTTTTTAAAGGCTTTAATAATAGTAATATTCTAATATTCTTCGAGAATATTAAATTATAAAGTAAGTTATTATTTAAATATTTAACTTATTAATAATATTAGAGTTTAAAGAAATATTTATATTAATAAATTAAATAAAAGAATTAGATATATTTATTTTATTAAAGTTAAGCTTATTTATATTAATAGCTTCTTTATAGATAGTTAGTTAAAAATATCGCTATATTAAATCGTAGAGTTAATAAATCTTTAAAATAATAGAGATTAATATTTTTTATAAATTTAAGATATAATCTAAGTCTCTAAATATTCGAGTATTATTAATACTTATTATCAGGACCAGTATAGGTGCGATACTAGTATGGGTGAGGTAGAACTAGGATAATAAGGCTACCGAACTATGTATGTGGGCAGAAGGCATGATATGGTAGGGGATGCCTCCGCCAAGGCCCGCTAGCTATAGGGCTGAGGGCTGAGTACGCTCGTAACAGTACTCCCCCCTCTCAAAGAGCCATGGCCCTTATGGCTGGTAGACCGGAGATGTAGGCCCATTGCTTGCCTTATATCTCCAAACATCAATAGTCCTTCGAAAGAACCACCGCTCGCTGAAATCCATAAAAACAAAGACTTTTGGTGTGTGCTATGCCAGGTCAAATTAGTACCTTTCTCCGACGGCGACGGCGATAGCAATATCGCGTTCCGGAGATTCTACTAGCGCGTTATCGATAGTATTTTATTGTAGTATCAAGGGAATCCTAATTTGATGAGGATCTATGAAGAATTGAATGGATAATGATCGAAAAAGGATTTGCTATGCAATGGCCACCTGATATAATAGAGAAGAGATTGATAAAATGATGCAATCTAATTGGTCGATGCCTCCCGAACCGAACCGAGCCGCAGGCGCTAAAACTCTAAATCAATATTAAATGATTCTGGTGTGAGTTTCTCCATGGGGTGCCATATAGCCGATATCGATCGAGGCTATCAACGGCGACAGTGAGGTCTATAGGTGACGCACCATGGCTTCGGAGGACCTTCAGATATATGATAACAAGGGGAGCCTGCTTGGTGGGCCTGATATGAGGCTATTGTTGAGTAAGATGGGCCCGAGGAATCGGTTTGCGAATGTGAAGAAAATGAGGCCGTTTTAAAGACATCGGACGGTTTCAATTCGTTTAAAAACACGATGTCCGAGGATTTGCCGGCGCCCATGCTGATTTCGACTGCATTTGCAGGGCTGCTGCGTCCTTGACTGCATTCGCCTGCTGCGTTCTCATGACCATATCGTTCGTAGGTCTGATGCGTCCATATGGCCTATGTTTATCGTTCGCAGGCCTGGTGCGTCCTTGACTGTATTCGCCTGCTGCGTTCTCATGACTATATCGTTCGTAGGTCTGATGCGTCCACATGGCCTATGTATATCGTTCGTAGGTCTGGTATATCCGCATGGCCATGCTTATCGCCTATATTCCTCTGGATTAGGGCGAGGAATAATAGCATATTTGCCGCGTGGTTTGGCTGCCTCTTCGAGTCTCGCTTTGGCATATTGTTTGGCAAATACCTTTGCTTTCTTGTCTGCCAGCCGTTCGGCATACATCAGATCACGGTATTCTAATATAATGAGGTGTTCCTTCAGGTCTGGCAATGTCCACTTTCTTCCGTACATAGCATATTCGTCCAGGAGACGGAGGTTTGCCCTGTTCCTCAAGTCGATTATGAGATCTGGCTGAATGACATTGATCTGATATTCTTTATCGCCATACTTCTACATATATGCGGCATGTTTCATGAACTCTGTGTAATACTCGGAAAATGACTGACTATCACGTCTTCTGAAGGTTGAATAGTCATAAACATTCCTTTGTCGAATAACGTCTGCTGGAGTCTCATAAAGATCACTTAGTTGATTCAGGAGGTCGTCGACTGAGAGATAAGGATTTTTTGTAGTCTTTCGGCGTCTAGGTATCGTGTGCTCGACAGCGTTTCCCCCAAGACGCGATATAACGTAGTTTATCTAAAAAGCGTCGGTAGGGTAATAATTCTTATTAAGACTAAGTTTATCCATAATTCTTATTTTCTAGTCCTCAAATTTAGATCTATCAATGCCATTGAATATAGGTGGATCCGATAGTCTCGGGCTGAGTGGCTGTCTGACTGGCTGTGGCGAGATTGGTCGATATCGATGTCTTAGTGCTTCGAAATCTCGTGGTATAGGTGGAGGTAAGGACGGGGGTGGAGGAGCAGAGATGCCAGCCGAGTTTTGGGCCTGTATCTCCTCTTATTGACTTGGTGCCTCGCGATATCGCTGGTAAAGATCCTTAGTAGATAGAGATCGCTGCACACGTGGCATGCGGAGTGACGGCGAGTTGGGAGGTGAATATCTTCTATGTAGGTCGTCGTACGTAAGGTAGGGATGGCCGCGGTATGTAGGTGATCGGCGATGCGGAGGGAGGTATTTTGGTGTTGATGTAGGTGGATTTGAGTCGGAATTCATGATGTGTTGAATGTAGGTAATAACGGAGCGGAGAAGATAGGCGTAAAAATGGCGATTTTGGCTGGACTTCCCCGTCTTACTGTAGTTATCGAATAGTGTTTTTTCGAATGGTAGGAAGTCCGCCGGGGGTCTGTTGGCCGGTGATAGATTTTTTGCGGGGAACGGAGCGGAGAAGAATTTCTTGTATTCGATGTAGGGAACTCGTTTTTTGATGGATTGGGCTACCGTTGATAATGTAGGTTGTCTGATGTAGGTTCTTTCGAATGATGTAGGTGGTTTGTGATTTGTATGTGTGGTGGTGCTTCTGTATGGTAGAAATACCCAGCGTTTTCTTTATCAGGCTCGGTCGCTTGCTCCGAGCAAAAAGTGAAAAACCCGTCAGTTCTCTTCGCCGGGGGGTGTACGAAGGAGCCTTATTATAATGTCAGGACCAGCATAGGTACGATACCAGTATGGGTGAGGTAGATAGGATAATAAGGCTACCGAACTATGTATGTGGGCAGGAGGCATGATATGGTAGGGGATGCCTCCGCCAAGGCCCGCTAGCTATAGGGCTGAGGGCTGAGTAGGGTACGCTCGTAACACTTATATTATTACGATTAAGCTATAAGATTTACTTTATAATTTATTAAGTTATATTAAATTATTAAGATCTCTCTTTCTTATTAAGCTTTATCTTTCTATTATATTAATTAATATAAAAAATAAATAATTAATAATACTTAAATATATACTCTAATATTAAATCTTTATTATCGACCTTTATATTATTCTATATCTTTCTTTAACTTATAATCTTATTAATTTTAATATCGTAAGAGTTAATTAATCGAAGAGTATAATCTTATTTAATTAAGAGCTTTATTAATATAATATCTTCTATTATTAAACGCCTCTTCTTTTATAATAAAAGCGTATTATTATTTTTATAAGTTTTAAATATAATAACGTTATCTATTAGATTATTAACGAACTTCTTTTATAAAGAATAATAACGAATTTATAATTAAGAATTATTCTTATTTAAACTAATATTAATAAATTAAAAATCTATTTTATTTTCTTTATAGATATTAAGTAGATTAGATAATAAGATTAAAGGCGAAGCGATAGTAAAATAGAGAGAAAGCGGAGTTTTAATAAATTTAGATTAAGGCGAAATATTAATAAGTCTAAAAGAGATTAAAAATTTTAAGATTTATTTTTACTTAATAAAAGGAAAGGCTAAATACTTAAATATTTTATATCTATAAATCTAAAAAGTAAATTTTCATACGATTTTCGTCGGATTCGTACTATAAGTACGATTTAGTCTATTAAATAGACTTTATTTATATTTAATTCTTTTCGCTAATTCTACTAGTTTAGTAACTTTAAAAAATTTTAATAACTTTAAAAATTTTACGTAATATACTCTAATATACTCTAAGTACTATTCTATATATATATGATATTAATATATATTATTATTAATATACGTATTATTATACGCTATATTAAAGTATTATCTATATAACTAATTTTATTAAATTATCTAATTTCGTAATTAAATTTAAGTTAACGTTAATACTCGTTATCGTAGAATCTTATCATTATAACGTTAATTATTAGAACTTTTCTTTTTTTATATATATTATTATTAAACTAATAGAACTAGTAAAAAAGATTAAGATAATTAGTAAATCGACGGAATTTAAGCGAATTCTAATTAGATTTACTAATTCGACGAATTTTATAATTTCCGCGATATACGCGCGATTAGTAATTTCAAATTTTATAGAAACTTTTTAGATTTATAGATATAGAGAGTTATTAAGATTAAGAATATAAGTATATTAATAAATCTCGCGAAGTTTTAAAGATATTAACTTCGATATCTAATATCTTAATCGAAGCTAGAATTAATATTAATACTTATTATTAATATAAGAAAGTAAGATTAATAAATCTTTAATTACGCGCTATAAGAATATCTACTATTTAAATATATATACTCGCTTTTAATACTTATATATCTTTTATAAGTTTTTATTATTATTTATAATTAAGCTTATATTATTTACTTTATAAATTAAATAAGATAATATTATAGAATTTTTATCGATATTATCTTAAAATCGTTTCGATTAAAAATAAATAATAAAAGCTTTAAGATTAAGTTATTCTTAGAATTAAGAGATTATTATTAGATTATCTATTAACTTCTAAATAAAGATAAATTTATACTTATTTAAATTATCGATAATAATAAGTTAAAGAAAATTAATATTAAAAGGATTTTTGGTTAATAGTTTACTAAATTAATAGAGATTTATTAATCTCTTAATCGTTAAGAGCTTCTAAGTCTTTATATATCCGTCTTTCTACGTTTCTATTAATTCTCTCTTAAGTAATTACTTCTCTTACTTCGTAAGCGCTTCATTAATTAATAAAATTAATTTATATAAGAATTTAAAAAGAAAGCTAAGATCTTATACGATTATATAATTAGAAATAAATAGTAATTAAATAATCTCGCTTATAATAATATTAATCTTTCTCTTATATAATCTTATAAACTTTTTTTAAAAATCTTTATATTTTAATTAACGCGAGAATTTCTCTTCTATTACTTTAAATATAGACTCTAAAAATCGAAGTTTTTTATAAATATTATCTCGATTCGTAATAATATCTAACTTCGCGACATCGATTTTAAAATAGAAATCGATTTCGATAAACGCTATTATTATAAGTATATCGTTTAAAAAAAATATAAATATCGATATAATAATATATATAATGCGATAATAAGAAAACGCGCGTTAGATTAAGTAAGATATAAGATAAAAGAAATTTAAATAAAACTATAAAGTTCGAGTCGAATATTCGATATTATTTTCTAGAATATATATTATATCTTTAACTAATTTTAATTAATTATAAATAAATAAACTTCGACTAGCGCTAACTTTATTAATAATTATCTTAATAATCTTAATTAAATATTAATATATTATATCTTTAATTAACTTTAATTAATTATTAATAAAAACTTTAATAAAAGCTTTAACTAGCGTTAAAATTAATAATATATTAGTATATATAACAGAATAAGATAGAGCTGAGCTTAGAAACCTTGAATTTATATGTGCAGCCAATCATAAATTCGGGTCCTATACGCTTTTTAATTAGACCGGCTGAGTCAGCCCGGTAGCTCTCCCGCGCCTCCCTTATCAAAAATTTATATGTAGAAGTTTTACACTCTAAAATAACCAGCTCCCTACGAATATTGTTACTTCATAATTTCGTAAATTATAGAGCTCAGTTTACGCTTTCTAACGATATAAAAATTATAAAGTTTAGCCTACTATTGATGGATTAAATTAATATTTAAATATTATAGTCATATTAGACGCGTCCGGAATCGGATAATAATTCTTTCACCTATTTATTATTCTTTCATCATTCTATCAATTCTATCAATTCTACCAATTTCACCAATATAAATACAATCGTCTTCGGTACCCCTCGCCCAATTAGAGTCCCTTACTAACGCCCTTAGGCCACCCCTCGACGAATCCGCTACTGCTGGCAATCGAGGCCGCAAGTAAGTCTAATAGCTATCTACTACTACTTATAAACGCGTTAAAAGGCCCTTAAAAAGAGCTCGAACGGATACGTCCTCCTCTATATACTTCTTTTAAGCTAGCGGTAAGTGGGTTAAACTAATATTCAAATATTATAGTCACACCAAACGCGTCCGGACGTTATATGCTCTTCACGATTCCACATTAAATCATTATTTAATAAGCGGAGAACACTACTGCAACTTGGCCGTTTTACATTAAATTATTACTTAGTAAGCGGAGAACACCATTGTAACTTGGCCTATCATTCCTACTGCATTAAGAAATAAGAGGAGGAACTATAACAGGTAAATGTGGAGAATACTGCGGAGAAACCAAGCGGTAATAAGGCCACTATCGTCAAGAACACGGCTCAGCTCTCCAAGATCTCACGTTATATGCTCTTCACGATTCCATACGATTTTATATCAAATCATCACTTAGCAAGCGGAGAATACCACTATAATTTGGCCTATTATCCCCACTGCATTGAGGAGTAAGAGGAGGAACTACAACAGGCAAATGCGGAGAACACTGCGGAGAAATCAAGCGGCAACAAGGCTACTATCGTCAAGAACACGGCTCAGCTCTCCAAGATCCCACGTCATATGCTCTCCACGGTTCCACATTAAATCATCACTCAGCAAGCGGAGAACATTACTGCAACTTGATCGTTTCACATCAAATTATCACTCAGCAAGCGGAGAACACCACTGCAATTTGGCCTGTTATCCCCACTATATTGAGGAGCAAGAGAAGGAACTACAACAGGCAAATGCGGAGAATAC